GTTTCCGAGGCAGTATCACTACGGAAGTAGGATTGCCCAACCTTCCTTCCGAGGAGTGGCTGGTGGGTTTGAACCGCCAGCCTTCTGGTTAGCAGTCAACTGCTTTTAGCCACTATGCTACCAGAGCTCCTATACCTAGCTCACTAAAATACTGCTAATGAACTGATGCTTACTTTCTTAAACTTCATTATTAGCGATGGTTTCTATTACCAATATAATGCTGCCTTTACTTCGAAGGGTAACCCTTTTATAAACTTTATCACATGTCTCTTGTAACCCTTACACAAAGATTTAATACACAACATCTAGCCTTAAATAAAAGGAAAATATATTATAGCCTAAGTTTTTACCTTAACTGGATCTGTTCAGGAAAGAGCATGTAATTTTCAGGTAACTATGTGGGTAACTGAACTTGTTGAAGGGCCAGAGAAGCCTTTTTGCTGAAAAAATGAAGAAATGTAACAAACTAACAGCTATGGTTAGAGTAGATATTAAACACAATATTAACTCTATTTAAAATTTTGTCCCCTCCTTCCCCCTATGTAAATAGGATAGCTACTTTAGGTCGTTCCTCTCACACATTCCTTTGGGCATCTGGCTTAAAGTCACTGCCCACTTGTAGTTGATAATTGCAGTTCATGGACGGAAAACCAAAAAAAAAAAAAAAAAAACCAAACTCACTGCCATCTAGTCAATTCTTATGGACACAGATGATCCTGAAAAAAGGAGATAGCAAGCCTGGAGCAATGAAGATAAAGGAGAAACAGAGACATCACTAGCAGACAGAGAGGTCTGAGGGTGCCCACTCCTACACTATCCTCTCCTTTTAGAGTTAACCTTTCTAGGCAGGTGCGAATATGAAGGACACTTTCTCCTAACCAAGGGCAGCTTTTTATCACCCACCACTAGAACAGCAGAGTTCATAAGGCAACAACTCATCTTGATCTAACAAGAAGAAAGCATTATAAGCATTCTTCAAACCTTCCTACCCCTTTGCCCAATTCCTTTTGAAAACCATTTCCCAGCTTGGGGAGATTGACTCTTTTGAGAAGCAATTCTCCCAGTCTCCTTGGATATTGATATTCAATAAATTCTTTTGCTTTCCTCCTCCAACCTGTTGTGATAACTGGTTGTAGGAGAGGAGTAAGAAACATATTCCTGCAACAAACTCACTAGCCAGCAAGAATTGAACTTATTTGCAATTGTGCCTCAGGCATTTGACTGCTAACCAGAAGGCTGGCCATTCAAACTCACCAGCCACTCTTCCAAAGGAAGGTTGGGCAATGTACTTCGGCAGTGATGAACCAAAAAAAACCCAAACGCACTGCCCTGGAGTCGGATTTGACGCATAGCGACCTTTCCTTGGGTTTCTAGGGATACGGCCTCTGAAATCCAAGGAGAGGTCACTATGAGTCAGATCTGACTCCACAAGTTTTTTTTTTTTTTTTTTTTTATATGAACAGAGGAGCTCTGGAGACCGAGTAGTTACAGCATTCTGCTGCTAACCAAAAAGGTGGGCGATTGGAACCCATCAGCTACTCTGTGGTAGAAAGGGCAGTCGGCTTCTGTAAAGATTTACACCCTTAGAAACCTTATAGGGCAATACCACTCTTATAGTGTCCCTAAGAGTCTGAATCGACTCAATGGCATGGATTTGGTATGAGTATGAACCTGTCTTTGTCATTTAATAAACAGCGCCATCTTCCCTCACATAATGGTTAACATCTCAGTCCAGCCCTGTCCTTCATGCTAATTATTGTTGTCTCACCGTCAGAAATAAAACAAGATGAAAGCGCCAAGAGCGGCGGCTAGTAGAGGCGCGTCTGAGATTAAGGCCCTCGCTTCTTGGTGCCAGAGAAATCAGCACTTGCTCTGAACCCAGTTTTGAGCCCTGCTCCGGGTGAGGCCACCACAGCGCCTACGTCTCAACCTCAAGACAAAGCTCAAGTCAAATTTGCCAAGACCAAGACAGCCAATGAACGACGCCAAGAAGGCCACTACCTCAAGGACCGGAAAGGGCGGGACCGCCGCTGTGGATTGATATCTGGATTTTGCGTCACTCTGCTCGCCAAACTGTGCGTGGTGCGGAAGTGGGTCAGGCGCGACGGCGGGGCGGGGCTGGTCCAAAGGTTGTAGGGGACCCAGGCAGGTGCTGCTCAGTACTGGCTGGTGCCCAAGGGGGCGGCAAGAGAGTTCTCATCATGAGCGAGGCGGACGGGCTACGGCAGCGTCGACCCCTGGGGCCTCAGGTTGTCACGGACGATGGCCTAGCTCCGGAGGCCAAGGACGGCAGGTAAACCGGGCCCACAGGCCGGGCGCTGCAGCGCAAAGTCAGGCCTCCAGAGGCGACCTTTGTTAACAAGTTACAGCAATAACAGTTGCAGGGTAAATAAGATGCCAAAGGCTCTGAGTACGCTAGCTCATTTAATGCCCACAGTAAAACCCATTTTACAGATAAGGAAACCGGCTTCAGCGAGGCTGATGTACGTGACAAGTTCTGCAGCTTGGAATCCACCCAGCGCCAAATAAGTGCATTCTTCTCTGGGTCCCCTCTCGCGCCACGCTTGCCCAATACTCCTGTCCTTCACACTCGCCGTTCGCGACAGAGCAATAGCTTTTTCGCCCTCCCCTCCCCCACATCCTTTCTGGCTACGCTTCCGGCTGGCTGACCAGAGTACCCCCCACGCATTCTCATGGGAGAGGCACCTGGTCAAAAGTCTTGTGTTGAACCTGTCTCTACTTGCACTTTCCTGAAGGGAGGCCTGAAAAGATGTTCGATCCCGCCTAGTGATCCAGACAAGAGCTGGCTTCTAGTTCTCCTTTTCTGTGCCAGCCTTCTCCCTGCATATGACCAGCCCTCATCAAACAAAAGTTAAATTGTTAGGCAATTTTTGTGAGAATTCAGTCTTGCAGGTTTTCCTTTGATAAGGCAGGAGAAGCATAGGGAGGTATAGATGTTGATGTCTAATAAAAGAAGTTTCAGGTTTTGGGTCTGTTCCTTTCGCAGTCTTCCAGAATATTGACTACCTCTCCCTTTGGAAGTTTTGTGACTCACCATTTACTATTATTTTTTGCTTTGTAGTTTTCATATTGATTTTTCTGGTTATCTATTTTCAGTCTTGAAGGTTTATTTTGTTTTGGATTCTTCTCAATGTTTTGGTGGCATTGTGGTTAAAGCATTGGGATGTAACCGAAAGGTTAGTGATTTGAACCCACCAACTGTTCCATAAACGAAAGATGAGGCAGTCTGCTTCTATAAAGATTTACAGTCTTGGAAATCCTATGGGGCAGTTCTACTCAGTCCTTGGAAGCCCTATGGGAAGTTCTACTGTGTTCCATAGGGTGACTGTGAGTTGAGAATGAATTCCATGGCAGTGGGTTATATCTGTGTTGGTTTTTGGCGATGTTCTTGTGTGTTGATTTCAGGTGGTTGTCTGCTGTTGTTGGTTCCCTGTCCTAACAACTCCCTTTACTATTTTTTAATTTTGTTGTGCTTTGGGTGCAAATTTACGGAGCAAAATTTGTTTTACGTTCAGCAGTTCGTGTACATTTGATTTCATGCCCTGATTACCATCTCCCACATCACAAACTTTCCTCCCCTCCTGTCCCTGTGCCTACCCCCTTCCTGTGTCCTTTTTAACTATGTACTCCTGTCTGTCCAGCTTTCCCTCCATGTGAATGCTCTCCCTCTGGTGCCCCACAGCCAATTGGCTCTAAGAGGTGTATCTCCTTAGAGTAGGTGGTTGCATCGCCTTGGGATAAGTGTTCTGCATGTAAATCTTTGTGCTTTTGGGCTGAGAGCCAATCCATGGGAGTGAGTCCAATTCTAGGTCCAAAGGGTAATCCAGAGCCATGGTTTTGGTGGTTCTACCAGACTCTATCCGACCAATAATTCTGGTCATTTTTGTGCTTTTGGATTTTGTTCCACAGTTTTTCTCCCACTCTATCCAGGATCTCCAGGTTTGATTCCTTTCTGAGTGGTTAGCATTGGTAGCCAGGCACCATCTAGTTCTGGTCTCGGGGTCCATTATATCCTTGGAATAATTGTTTCCAGATGCCTTTGATTTTCTTCAGGAGCTCTGGTAGCATAGTGCTTAAGGCATTTGACTGCTAACCAGAGGGCTGGCTATTCAAATCCACTAGCCACTCCTGAGAAGGAAGATTGGGCAATCTACTTCTGTAGTGATACTGCCTTGGAAACCCAAGGAGTGGTCACTATGAGTCGGATCTGACTCGATGGCAGTGAGTTTATTTTCTTTACTCTTCTTTGCTTCAGATGAGAGGAGACCAATAGTTGCATCTTAGATGGCCGCTATGAAGCTTTTAAGACCCCATTCGCTACTCACCAAAGTAGGTTGTGGAACATATTTTTATGTACTATGTGGTGCCAGTTGAGTTTTGTGTCCCCTGTGACTATGGTCTCAAGTCGCAGGCCCGGTAATTCTCTCTCTCTCAAGGTACTTGTGTCTGAGAGATTACTCCAACTCTGTTTTATGTTGCTTTTGTAAAGTGTGTGGCTAGTTTTGTAGCACAAGTGCGTATGTAAGATTATCTTCTCTGGTAGCATAGTGGCTAAAGCACTTGACTGCTAACCAGAAGGCTGGCGGTTCAAACCCACCAGCCACTCCTCGGAAGGAAGGTTGGGCAATCCTACTTCCGTAGTGATATTGCCTCGGAAACCCAAGGAGGGGTCGCTATGAGTCGGGGCCGACTTGACGGCACATAACAACAACAACAACAACAAATCTAACCTTGGTCTAGGGTATGTTCCTGTTCACCGACCCCACCTGATCTTTTCACTTATCTATGCATTATCTGTTGCCTGGTGTTTGATGTTAGTGGTAATGCAATACTAGGCATAAACAATTATATGCCTCTGTTGTCTATATCTTATGTGCATGTTTCAGTGTCTTTCTTTCCCCAGTGTCATCATGCTGGTCACAGACTTTTTCCATACCATCCCTGCCCTCACCTAGTTCAACATGTGATCCCCAACTAGTCTGAAACTTTCCCTCCCCTTCCCTCCCCAATAACCTACAAAGTGAGTTTCATTCCCTTAGTAAACCTTACCTTGACTTTTTACAATAATGGGCTCATACAATATTTGTCCTTCTGTAACTGACTTATTTTATTCGGTATGATGTCCCCAAATTCACACTGTAAGATGATTCATATATTTTTCATTATTGTTTAATGTTACAATGTATTCCATTGTGTGATTGTACCATAGTTTGGTTATCCATTTACCTATTGATGGGGATTTAGGTCATTTCCATCTCTTTGCTATCGTGAATTGTGCTGTGATGAACATGAGTGTACATATGTGTGTTCATGTCCTGTCTCTCACCTCTTAAGGATATATTCCTAGTAATGGAATTGCTGGATTAAATGGTATTTCTGTTTTCAGTTTTTTAAGGAAACACCTTACCATTTTCCACAATGGCTGTACCAATTTGCAGTCCCACCAGCAGTGGATGAGAGTTTCAATCTCTCTGCAACCTCACCAGCATTAGTTATTTTCTGTCTTGTTGAACTTTGGTATTATTACTGAGGTGAGATGATATCTCATTTTGTTTTGATTTGCATCTCTCTAAGGAGCTCTGGTAGCTCAATGCCTAAAGGCACTTGACTGCTAACTAGAAGGCTAGTGGTTCAAACCCACCAGCCACTCCTCGGAAGGAAGATGGGGCAATCTACTTCCGTAGTGATACTGCCTTGGAAACCCAAGGAAGGGTCGCTATGATTCGGGTCTGACTCGACGTCACATAACAACAACAACACAATGGCTAATGGGGAGCTCTGGTGGCGTAGTGCCTAAGGCATTTGACTGCTAACCAGAAGGCTGGCGGTTCAAACCCAGCAGACACTCCTCAGAAGGAAGGTTGGGCAATCTGCTTTCGTAGAGATGCCACCTCCGAACCCCAAGGAGGGGTCGCTGTGAGTCCGGGATTGACTCAATGGCAGGGAGTTTATAATGGCTAATGATTGTGAGCATTTCCTCATGTGTTTGTTGGCTGCCAGCATATCGTCTTTAGTGAAGTGTGTTTATGTCCCTTGTCCATTTTTGAATTGGATTGTTTGTCTTTTTGGTGTTGAGGTGTTGATGTTTTCTATAAATTTTAGAGGTAGTCCTTTGTCAGATATGTCATAGCCAAATATTTTTTCCCAATCTGTAGGTTGTTTTTTTACCCTTTTGGAGAAATCTTTTGACATGCATAAGAATTTAATTTTTAAAAGGTCCCAGTCATCTACACTTCCTGTGGATTTTGGTTTATGCTTCATAGTCTATTTATGCCATAAATTAGGGCCCCTAGATTTGCCCGTTTTATCTTTGATGAATTTTATAGTTTTGGGTTTTACTTTTAAGTCTTTGATCAAACTTGAGTTTGTTTTTGTTTATGGGGTGAGATATGGGTCTTGTTTCATTTTTCGGCAAGTGGATATCAAAGTTTGCCAGAACCATTTGTTAAAGAGACTCTCTCTCTCATTTAATGAGTTTTGGTCCTTTGTCAAAGATCAGCTGTCCATAGATGGATGGGTCTATTTCTGGATTTTTGATTCTGTTCTATTAGTCTGTCTATCATTGTACCAAGACCATGCTGTTTTAATTACTGTGGCTGTATAGTAGGTTTTGAGATATGGGAGTGTGAGACCCATTTTGTTTTTCTCCTTTACTGAAGGAGGTCTCTTTCCTTTCCATATAAAGTTGATAATTGGTTTTTCCATATCGTTAAACAATTTTGGCTTTGTAGTATTTCAGTGTTTTTGAGTTGAAGCTTGTTTTGTGTCCTAACGTATGGTCTGTTCTAGAGAATGATCCATGTGCACTGGAGAAGAATGTGTATTGTCCTTTTGTTGGGTGAAGTGTATATCTCTGTGAGGTCAAGTTGGTTGATTGTCGTGAGTTTTTCTTTATCTTTGTTGAGTGTTTTTGTAGTTGTTCTGTCCCTCCTTGAAAGTAGTGTGTTAAAGTCTCCTACTACTATTATTTTTCCTTTCAATTCAGTTAGTATTTGTTTTATGTATTTTGGAGCACTTTCATTGGGTGTGTCGATAATAATTACAGTGAGGTCTTTTTGGTCAGTTGATCATTTTAGCATCATATAATGTCCTTCTTTGTCCCTTATGCTTTTTCACCTTGAAGTCTACTTATCAGAAATTAATATTGCCACTCCTGCTCTTCTTTGGTTGCTATTAGCTTGGTATATGTATTTTTCACCCCTTAAGTTTTAATTTGTTTCTGTATTTGTGTCTAAGGTGGGTCTCTTGTGGGTAGCATATTGATAAGTCTTC